CACACATGCATTTCTCCCAAACTCTTATGGGAACATTTTCAATTATTCTGGGGATGGGAAAGGAACTAAATTCAGATGTATTCCAACCTACTGCCCCAATAACAGGTTATTTGGTTCCATTTCACCCAGGACCATGAGTGCTGTTTTCTGGTGACTTCTGTCCTACTCCTCTCTATCTGCATGACCGAAGGACCTACAAAAACCAGCTGGTCCCCAAGACACTCCATCTGTCCTCACCTTCTCCCATCCCTTCAGCGCTATGTTCTTGCTTCCCAACCCTTGGGACGTGGGATTTGAAGGTGTCATGCCATGCTTCTCTATTTGGGGCCAAAAGCTGCCCTCGAGGTCCATGGCAGTGTGTCAGGGGCATTTGGTAACCTGGGATGAACAAGATGCATCTTCCTAGAGTATCATGCTTATTGAAAGATTTTTGTGAGGGGTGGTGGAGGTTAGGTAACTTACCTGTTCTAGAAGATTGTTGTCATGTTAGAGTATAGCTAGATGCAGGTTGGAAGGAAACACAAAGCACGCTAAAGGGGTGGCTTGGGCTTCCATGCCCAGTTTCCCCTGAGCAGGGCTGGGCAGAGAGCTGCTGGGAGAGAGTGACAATGGGAACCAATCTAGGAAAGGAAGGGAAGGAAACAGCAGGTGCAGGTCTGGGTGAGGACACAGGGTAAGGCTGTCTAGCCTGGTGGTCGAGGGCCCAGGTTCTGGAGGCCGACATCTGGGTCTAGCCCTAGTTTCACTCCTTCGTACCTGGACGACCAGGTCAACTGAGCCTCTGTGGCTCAGTCTTATCCCCAGAATAGGCTATCTGAAGGATTTTGCTTCCAAGATTAAATGGAATAATGCACTCAGAAAGCTTATTACAGCACCTGCAGGTGAGGTGAGCTGAATTCATAGCACCCAGCACCACGATCAGGGTGAGAGAGCTCCTCAGGGGAGCCCTGACAGCATTGGTTGGGCTTTTCATTTTTCTAGAAACAAGCTGGGAAAGGGAGTGAGCATGACACTACCACGCATGCCCGGAAAGCTGAGGGCTGGTGAATTGCAGTGAACGGGCCAGCTAAAGGTTGAGAGTCTGTGGCTCTGAGAGCCAGAGAAGAGCAGATGAGCCCCAGCACCAGCATAAGAACATTTATAAAGTGCCATCAAAAGTGTCTGGCCTTAGCTGCTGCTTCCCCTGCTGCTGAAATGTTAGCACTTGCAAAATAGGGGCTCTTATCTGCAGTTATGTTTACTTTTTGTTAATATTCAATGGGAAAAAGTAGATCATGGCAAATATTCCATCAGCAGACAAAGCTTTTCAACAATGGGGAAACTCAGTGTGAAATGCTGGGGACTGGCCACTTGGCTAACCTGACGTGGCAATTCTGGTGGATTGTGCTGCCACATTTCATGAAAATTTGCATTCACTGGGATGAAGAACGGAAACAAATAAACTCGGTCTTGAAAGTATGCATTGAAGAAAGAGGCCAATTCGGTGTAGGCGGGAGCATTCCTGCTGAGCGAATGTAATACAAAATCAGGTCAGGCCAGGTGAGAAGGTAAGAGGAACGGGGAGGTGGAACCAGGATTGGCTCCTTATCTCCCCTTTCCCAGCTCTGAGGGTCACTTTCTTGGCTGGAACAACAGACCCGAGGCAATTCACTCCTCTTCCCATTCCAGTCTGATCCACTGGCCAGGTAAGTCCTTCCAGGTGCCCCAGTGGGAAAAAAGCATCCAGCTGTTAATTCACAGTCTCCCACGTGAAATCAAAGCTTTGCCCTGGTCCTTTCGAAGAAAGAAATGGAATGGATGCTGCCCTCGGAAGTGCCTGACCAAGCCCACATGAAAACGTTGTGATTGCTTTAACAGAAAACCATTTATTTTTGGTTCATTTCAGTATTTATAGCAGCGTACATGTAACGCTTTTCAGTCCACATGAATAGTTTCCAATGCTTGGAGCAAATTAATCTTTTACAAGCTACTCAGCAGTGAGGTTAGAAGATAAACAGTAGGTGAGATAGTACACGCTCCCATGTATGTGAACCTTCCTATTACAGTAAACTCCATTCGAGCTCACCACGTCCAATGACTGCCACTCTCTCTGTTCATGTGGCAGCCCCAGCTGTCCCCGGCCACCTCTGCCCTGCTGAGGCACTTCTCTGATCAGCCACCTGGGTGGGACTTACTGCCATTTTCAGTTTGGAAGGAAAAGCCCGTAAATCTGCTTCCTGGGAAGACAGACATTGCTGAATTGTCATTTGCCTCCAGAATGCAGAAAACATCAATTTCATTGCAGCTCATCAGAGTTAGAAACACCTGCCACTTCCTTTCTCAGTTGCAATTAACATGCTGCATCTCAGCATTGATTGATTCCAAGCAGCCTGACACTGCCCAAGTCAGGGTTTAAAGCAAACGGTACAAGCTGGTATTACTTTTCACAGTTGTAGAAACGAACTTATTTTAATTGCCACAGGAGTGCTGCAGTTGCTGGGGTTTAAAGTCCTTATGCTTGAGACAAATGTGAGTAGACTAGGCTGATGCTTGTAATAAAAATAGTTATCTTTGTATTTATTTGGGAGTGGTACTTGTTTATTTGTTTGTTTATTATTCTTTGCATTTATTTGTGGGTGGAGTGGAGGACGAATATTCTTCCCTCATGCCATTATCTGCTCAGGGCTGCACGACCCCACCACAGGCAATCAGAGAACGTTTGTTAAACACATAGATCAACCAACGAATGGTTTGGGAGAGGAAGCTTGAGAACTGTCCTCTCCGTCCCTCTTCTGTTAAACCCTTACCTTGCGACCATTGTGAGCCCTTCAGTTTAACTTAAAAGCTGTACGAGACTGTCTCTAACACATGACACGAGGCTGGGGCTTTATGTCTCATCCAGAGCCCTATGTTGTCCAACTTTGATCACAAGTGCTCTTTTATGGGACAGAAGAAGTTGTTTTCATCATAATCCTTCCTACTCATATTGCGTTAAAAAAAACCCATCTTTAAAATGTACAGTATTTTACATTTTGAGGGTCTTATGACATTCTTTATTTGTGAATAAGGAATGGAACTATGGAAAATAATTCAACAGCCACATTATTTATGTCTTTTTGGAAGTGTTCGTTGAAACTTTCATGTACCACCAAGCTGAAAGCCGTAGTAAGTAGAAGGCTGTTACATATGAGGTTTATGTTCCAGCTTGGCCAGATAAGACTCAGCTTTAAACTACAGAACAGTCTGCGGAAGAAAAAGTGAACAAATCGCTTCCCTTGTCTATTAACAGAAGACGAGGGCCAAGAAACACCTTCTTTCTTGGCCCTCTTGGGAGAACCTTTCTTTTAGATGAAAACAGAACAAATTAAAATAAGTGGCAATTAATTCTTTTTATAACAACAACCCAGACACTATACATGTGAGCAGCCTCTGTGAAATGATAGCACGCTTTCATGTAACTGACAGAAAAGACTGGGTTTGGATATTTCTGAACATTCAAAAATAAAAACCGAAGTTCTATATCTCTCTTCTTTAAATGAATTAAAATTCCTGAGTATCCATAGTCTTACCTTTAAATACCTAATGACTGAAAATATTATTTTAACTACCTCTATAAATCTTTAATACTTTGCAACTCACTGTCCCCAACAACTGGGTTGTCTGTTAAATAGCTTATATACCAATATCTTAGTGCCCGTAGCATAACACAGGAAAACCAGAAATAGGAGGAAATCCTATTAGCAATTTCCACCAAATATATAAATAAATAAGAATAAATAGCCATAAATGGCACAGTTTTGATAGCTCAATGCCTGCACATATTCCCTCATAGAAGAATTCATGCACTAGAAGATCTGATTCTTTTTTTAAAGAAAGGAAAAAGGAAGAGGAAGGAAGGAAAGAAGATAGGAAAAGAGAACTGCAACCTTTGGAATTTGGTATGTCATGGAAAGTTTCCATTTAACACCTCTCCAAGTGTGGGCGGGCTTGGGAAACCCAGTTACATTTCTAATTTCCGGCTTGTCGGCTGGCCAGATTGGCATGCGTGGACAGCATCTCAGACAGAAGCAGTTCACGGTCAACTTACATTGAGGAGAGTTAGGTCTCTGGTCAGAGTCAACTGTCGCAAAGCACCTTCTGTTCAGCGACCCATTTACACACGTGCAGAAATGAGAGAGGGCAAACACGTAACAAAGAGTTCCTCAGTCCGTCTCTTGTGACAGACTGAATCTTCAAAGAATCCCATTGAGGGAAAACAATCAATTTCTGACAACAGATCACTATGTAAAACATGGTTCGCATGGGACCCATCAGAAGGGCCCAGGAATCCCTCGTCAGTGCACAAAACTCCATCTCTTGGCTTTCTTTTCACATTGAAAATGTCATTTAAAAAATCCACAACCCAGTCTGAGATTTGGTCCCTGTATTTGGTAAATGGGGTCATGGCACTCAGCTACCCGGGGGAAGTCGGAAGTGATTTCGTCCTTGTCCGGTGGAGTTCCGAGGGGATCCCTGGAGAAAGTGTTGGAGATGCTTGTCTTTGGACCCGAGAAGACTGCCTTCGGGAAGCATCCTCATCTTGGATCTCTAGTGGGTGTGCTTCAGTAGCAGCACCCGCCTCAATGACACTTTATCAACAAATGAGTTTCCCTTTTGCCATCACCAATAGCCATATAAGAAAAGCACTGGAAAACTATTCATCTTCTAGAAATGCTTTTCATATGTTCCAGGGGCAGAGTTTTCTTTCCTTTTTTTTTTTTTTTCTGTTTTGTTTTTTAAACAAAATTAAGGCTCAAATGTCTTCAACTCTCATTGCTTATGTATATTATATTAAGGCTTACAAATACAACTGGTAAATTAAATCCAGGATTGAATTAACACCTGCTATATGAGTTATTTGCTTTATGTAACCAGTAATCTCAAGGTTTCTCCTTTTTTCTCTGGAAACACAATTTAAATATTAACCTAATCTTTAAACCGTGGCTGCTTCTTTCTGACATTTGGAAACCGGTCATCCATGCAAAAAAAAAAAAAGGCAAATATGGATATATTAATGAAAAGGCAGCTTCTTAAAAACCTGGAGATGTGTAACTCAATGAATTGGGAAGATAAATGGTAAAGGCAGCAGGAAAGTCAATCTCCGTGCCCCTTTCTCAGGAAAACAATGCTGGTCATCTGCCAAGGTCACCTCCAAGGTGAGACCTGCCAGAGGGACTGCTGATCTCATAACAGTCTTTGTATTTTCTTCATTAGAATCTCTGGAAGGGTCTCGGGCAGCTGTACTCCAGATGGGAGAATTTTCATGTTTAAGAAAAGATGGCAATAGGGCATCGCTTAAGTTCCAGGTACCCCAGATCCTGCCAAAGGAATTGTGAGTGCGTGGGGTGTTCCTGGCCCCATCCGCCCTCAGCCAGCATCCGGAGAGCGCCCCTTGGGCCTGCTCACGTCCTGCTCAGCTGACAGCCCCTGGAGAATATGAAGCTTTCAAAGTGCTGGTCTTCAGCCTTTTCTTTTATGCGCTGCTCCTCTAAGGAGTCCACGAGTCTGTCCCTTTGTTCAATCACTTGCATCATCTCGCTGAATATTTCTCTCTCCTCATTCAGATCATTCTCATCTTTCTGGCTCTCTAAAAAACAAAAAAGGAAAAGCGTGAGACCTCAGGTAACATTTGGCCCAGGGAGAGAGCTCTTGGCGTGGACGTTTCTTGATTGTTTTGGACTTGTTTCTGCCTTTTAATTTCCACGGAGAAAACAAGGAAATGAATTTAACACCAGGGGACTGTTCTTGAAGCCACAGATTTGCAAGGAGGGTGCTCTGTGCGGCAGTCGGCTCAGTTTTCATCGTGGGGCTACAGATAAAGCAACAGGGGGAAATCCCTTTGTGAGGGAAAGAGTATCCACCAAGCCCAACCTAGTCCTCCAGCCTCCCCTCCCCCGCAAAAAAGAAACCAGCCAAACAACAAAAAGGCTGTTTTCCCTAAACATGTCTGAACTGCAGCAAAGAAATCTACGTGCAAAGTTCTGAGTAAGCCATCTGCATCAGTGGCTACAATTTAATGCGGAGAATCCTTTTCTTCATGTGTAGTTCATGACAAATTGCAGCCTTTGAGTGGAGACCAAGCAGGAGCAAAGCAGGACTCCGGTTGGCCAATGGGACTGTGTCTCCAGCCTGTGACTATGTTTTCCCTATCGCCTTCAGAATACAAGAGCTTCTTCCTGGTTGGCCTGATGCCTCCAATTGCCTGGGGGACATGAGATGGCTGCAAAAGGAAAGGCAAGGCTAAGAAACAGATAGTAATGGCTTTCCGACAGTCAAAAGAGATGTTAAGGCAGATGCAAGTCTTGTCATCCAGACTACTGCCTTGGGAAAGGACATTATATTAAATACCTTCGCCCCTTCCCTTCAGCAAACTGGGGACTAGGTAGTGAGACTCATCCTGGAGCAGCCAAGGGCCTCTACTTCTCGCAACAGGATTAGTTCTGAGGACAGGGTCAGGAAGAAGGTATACATGACAAAAGGGAGATGGGGAAGCATCATTCCCTTTCCACCTCATGTTTTATGGGAGACAGAAGAGAAGCAGAGGATGAGAGCCCTGTGCTCCAGCCTCTCTGTTCTGGGCCAAGAAATGTCATACCATTTGATGGGAACACTGGGGGCCAACGGATTCTTACCCTGCCCCTTGGATGGAATTCTGGGAAGAAGTCGGCTGGAAGGGCGCCTCATGTGTGAACATGGGACAGTACATTGTGGTTGGGCAGAGAAGGGTCTGAGTCTGGTTTTCCAGCTCTCCATCTGCTGTGTATGGCCCAGGTGGGACCCAGAAGTGCCCACCAGCCCCGGAGCCATCAAAGGTAGCTGTTCAATAGGCCCCCAAGAGGGCTTCCCCATGTTGAGGAGTGATATGGTCCCACAGCGGAGACATGTGGCCAAGCTGAATGGAGGAGGTGCCAGGGAACGCCATCAGGCTCCAGGCACACCGAGGAGGGCCCAGGCTAGGGTGGATGCCAGCCACAATGTTAAGATCCTTAGCTGCAAATGCCAGCAGAGAGAATGGCAGCCCGATGACCGGACAGCTGTGTGGGGGCTCAGCCAGTCAAAGCAACCAGTATAGACAGCTAATGCCTCAAATTCACACAAACCTGCCTCAGGCTTCCCTGGCCTCAGGGAGAAGAACAGAAGGAAAAGGTTGCCATCTCCAAGACATTTTCATCCCAAAGAGACTGAGCTCTTCCTACACGGACTGTCTAAATTATTCCATCGGACTGAGTTTACTAGAGAGGGATACATTTCTTTTCTTTTCTTTTCCTTTCTTTTCTTTTCTTTCTTGCTAACTAGGGGGATAAAGCTTTTATGGAAGATGATCTCAGGTATAGTCAAAATGAAGAAGCTTTTTGGGGGGTGCGTTATACCAGAGAGGAGTGAAGAGATGTATGATCCTCGATCCTCACAAAAAATTTTTTAAAAAAGGGACGCCTGGCTGGCTTAGTTGGTTAAGCAGCTGCCTTCGGCTCAGGTCATGATCCCAACATCCTGGGATCGAGTCCCACATCCGGCTCCTTGCTCGGCAGGGAGCCTGCTTCTCCCTCTGCCTCTGCCTGCCACTCTGTCTGCCTGTGCTCGCTCTCTTGCTCTCTCTCTCTGACAAATAAATAAATAAAATCTTTAAAAAACAAAAATTTTTTTAAAAAGAAAATTCAAAGGTGGCTCATGGGGTCTGTTGGTGGTATTTATTTTGCCACCCTGAAATGGAGCAAACTGAAATTTTTATTAAATGTATAAATCAGATATTATGTTGTATATTTTGTTCATCTAGGTATATCCCAGTGTCGGTCCTTATTTGGTAATTAACGCAGAAAAAACTTCTCTCTCTCAAAGTCGGCTTCTCATCAGGGGACTCATCTGAGTCCATCTGACAAATACAAACGACGTATACCAATTTTATTTATTCTGTATAGTGAGTGCAGCCCTGTAAGGATTTTGCTAGAAAAAGAATTTTTGGCTACGAAGAAAGTCCACAGATCACTACTACATGGGAAAGAGCAGGCGTCCCTGAGTCTGTGGTGGTTTGTTCCGGAACTTTAGCCCCCTTACCACTTACCTCACGCATGCCAAGTGTGCTGAGATTTCGTTTCTAAACTGTAAAATGGGGATAAAATGCCTAAGTAAAACTAACCATGATGATGACTAATATTTACTAATATCCAATATTTACTAGGTGCTTGCCCTGTACCAGGCAACCCCATAGGGAGGTGCCATGTTTGGGCCATGAGGTATAAAGAAATCATTGAACTTGTCCTTTCAGACCTAGGTCTAAGGCACAAACAGTGAATACGCCTGGCGTGCTAGAGCCAATGAACACATAATTAAGACAGCATGTCAACCGAATTTATTTCCACTCTCCTCCTTCGTGGTAGAGATCATTTTCTCACATGTGCCCTGCCCTGGTCCATGGGGGGAAGGCTGTTTCTGATACCACGTCTAGTGCCCTGCAGAACGAGGCCCGCCTTCGTCAGGCACCCATGTCCTGGCCCTCATCTCTGTGTATGCCAATCCCGTTTGCACGTTGGCTTCTCCAGAACCCAGGGCAGGGGAGCTCTTCTTCATGCACCAGGCCCACACCAGACTCTCAGCAAATATTTCTAAACTGAATAGAGGGGGGAGTGAATGAACGATTTTGTTCTCTTAGCTGGTGCGACGGAGTCCAATGCTGCCCTCATAGGCCAGGTGAACGAAGCCAGCCAGAGCGTCTCGCCGGGCAGCCGGTGGGCTTCCCCCTCCCCAGCCTCTCCCTCCGCCTCTAGGCTGCTCACACAAGGTGGGAGGAGTGCCCTGTGTTGGGATTTGGGGTGTGCTCTGTGCAAGTGCCTTTCCAGGGAAAAATATCCTTCACAGGGGCCCAAACACATACCCCTGTACTCACCCTCCTTGAGCATTTTCTGTCTTAATTTCTGTTCCAGTCTGCTTTGATGATCTTCCAATTCTAATTCTTGGGCCCTGGGGGTAAGAAAATGTTCACACCTTGTAAATACTGAAGATATGCCTAAAACAGTGAGTAAGCTCACTGACTATAGTTACTATATTCTTTTTTTTTTTTTCCTTTTAATTAAAACTGGGGTCTTGGAATATCTCTAAATGGGAAGGTCTGGGGCTGAAGGAGCTGAGAAGGGCTGCTGGGTTCCGCTGAAGGCCAGAGATGAAGGAGCAGCTGAAGGTTGGGATGTGATCCCAGGGGGCATCTGGAAGACCACTCAGGCCACCCTCTGGGGACGGATCATTAAGAAAAGGCTAGAATAATCCAGGGGAGAAGCAATGACAATCTGAAACTCTCTTCTCTTTTAGGGGCAACATGACTTCGAGTATTGCCTCTAACAGCTCCCAGATCTCCGATTGTGGTAAATGACAAAACCAGGAGGACGAGACAGGAGTGAGCCATTTTGTTCAGGCAGAGCCATAACCTCCGCACAGCTCTCCGTCCGGTGGTAGGAGACGTGCAAAGAAGAGTCTGTGATGCTTTTGGAGTCATCAGGCTGGGGTCTCCTTGCTTCCGCCAATAGAAACAGCAGAGTCAAGGAGTGAAGTTCGTTCTCGGTGAAGGTCAGTTAGGCACTCCTTGAACTTTCAATGCCTGGGGCTATCTGATGTGTGGGCAAGGGGCCCACATGCCAGGCCATGTGTAATGTGGAGGTTTCCCCCTTTGGAAACCCAACTCTGGAGCGCGTAGGAGAAATCAGGACCACACACAGATGTTGCAGGGGTCAGAGATGGTGGTTGAAACCCTGTGATCCCTAAAAGGAAGACTACAGAGAAAGGAAAGTTTGAAGACAGGAGCTTGGAAATGCCTACACTGAGAAGGCAAAAAAAAAAAAAAAAAAAAAAGAGAGATGTAGCCAGGAAGGAAGCCATCCGAGCTCTGAAAAGAGATAAAAAAGATATAAAAAAGAGATAAAAATGAGCTCTGAAAAGAGATGATGCGAGGCAGCATCACAGAAACCCAAAGGAGAGAGTTTTGAGAGAGAAGAGAGAGGCTGAGGTGAGAGAGGCTCACTGCTACAGAGACACCCAAGTGGGGAAGGGCTGGGAATAGGGCCTCTGTTTGACAGCGCCCGGCCTTCCCTTCCAGCCCCTCTCGCCGTGTGCATGGAGCTGCCACAGCTTTGGGGTCATTTTGCTGTGCCCTGCTGTTGCTGCCCTATTTCTGTGACTTCTCCTGCTACTTGGGCCAAGATCCCTGCCATGTTTAAAATATTCTGCCTTTTGGGGGTGCCTGGGTGGCTCAGTGGGTTAAAGCCTCTGCCTTCAGCTCAGGTCATGATCCCAGGGTCCTGGGATCGAACCCCGCATCGGGCTCTCTGCTCAGCAGAAACCCTGCTTCCCTTCCTCTCTTTCTGCCTGCCTCTCTGTCTACTTGTAATCTCTGTCTGTCAAATAAATGAATAAAATCTTAAAAAAAAAAAATTCTGCCTTTTGTTATTGACCCTGAACTTCTCTTAGGTCCTCTCTGGTTGCCCGTGGAAATGTACCACTCAAGGCTTCCTTCAGGAGAGAACTTTCTGGGCCGAGTGCCAAGAGCTGACTCCTGAGGTACAGTCTACTCAGTGTGGTGCTGAGGCCACGCTGTGCCCAGACAGCATCCTGCCAATGACAGAGCACAGCGGGCAGCGCTAGAGCTGGACTCCTCTGGTGGCATCTTTGCTCCTGTACTCTCTTTGGCCGGGCTGAGACGTTCCCGGCGCTGCACCGCAGTTCGGAGTTTCCTCCGCCCAATTCTCTTTCCTCCCCACTCCCTTCACAGGTGTCAGGACCACAGAGGGTGTGCGACTTCCCTCTTATTCCCCCTTCCATTCTCCTTTATCCTACTATGTCTCTTTTGCTTTTTTTTTTTTTTTAAGATTTATTTATTTAGAGAGAGAGCAGCGGGGAGGGGCAGAGGGAGAGAGAGAATCCCAAGCAGACTCCCCACTGAGGGCAGGGCCCGACAGAGATTTCGATCCCAGGACCCTGACATCATGACCTGAGCCAAAATCAAGATCCGGCCTCTTAGCCGACCCAGGCGCCCCGACTCTTGCGCTTCTAGTCCTGTCTTGGTATCTGCTTTCCCAAAGCACTCAAGTTGCTTGTCTAGGATGTTTGTCCCTGTTCCAACAGCTCTTTCTCTAAACTAAAACCCATCCTTTAACAGAGCTCCTGCCCGCTTTCATCTAGTTCCCATGCCTGAGTTCTTCCCTGCGGCCTCTCTTGGAGAAGAAGGTTCCCTCTGGCCACGTGCTAACTAGGGAAGCCAGGCACTGAGCACTGGGAGCAGGAGCCACTGCCTTCCTGATCATCACAGGGAGAACCTACGCACAGACAAGGCTGCTCCTGCCACAAACTTCCATGGAGCTCTCGCCATGTTTTCTTATCGCTGGTGTGCTATGTGTTTGCATGTCTGTCTCCCCTGAAACCATGAGATCCTAGAAGATAGGGACTGTGGCCCGCTCATTCTTCTTTCCACCGTACCCAGCACAGTTCCTGACACAGATGATGTGTTGGATATGCTTTTGTTGAATGAACGTTGTGATTCAGATCTGGTCCAGAGGCAGATGGTAGGGTTGTGTAAAAAGGGCTTTGCAGTCAGGTGGACAAGGACAGGTGTTGCTCAGAGTCCCAGCACGTGTATCAACTTAAAAAACAGTGATTGAAAAAATAATCGCTAAGGAAGATGCCTTCTTCCTCATTCCTGGACGTTCTTTCCACGTCCATGGAGCTCAATGAGTGTAACTCCTGGCCTCCTTCCCCAGAAGACTGAAGACCACTCTTACTCACTCTCACCCCCAGGAGAGGCAGATTTGGGAAGAAACTAGGTGAACTCAACTCACACCCTTTTTTTCTTGGGATCAGCCAGCCTGGAGCAGAACTGCCTTCTTGATTACTCTGAGCCTTGCCATAGATCTAGGGCAAGACTTCTCAATCTTGACACTATTGGCATTTTAGGCTGAATAACTCTCTGTTGGTGGCAGGGAGAGGGGCATCCTGTGAATCGTACAATGTTAAGTAGCACTCTTGGCCTCTCTTCACTAGATGCTAGCATCACCTCCTAGGTGTGACACCCAAATATGTCTCCAGATATTGGTGAATATCCCCTGGGGGGCAAAACTGTCCCCAGGTGAGATCCGCTGGGCTAGAGTCAAAGACTTGCTCCTAAGAAGCAAGTGGGTCCATTAACTTTTGTGATGCCATAGGGGAATATGGGTAACAATGGGGTCAGGTTAGTGCAGTGGGCTGAATGGTTACCCCAGAGATATGTCTGCATCCTGGCTTGAGTGACCTTCAACTCTGTCCCAGTGTGATGAGATCCAGCTCCACCTTCTGATCTCCCAGCAGCCTTCAACCTCGCATTCAGAGTCCCTCAGTATGGTAAATACTTAAGGACGTGGCCAAGCAGATCTTCCCAAGCCCTTCCAGGGTTCATACCCAGAGGCCAAGAACATGCCTCCCCATCACAGGTGCGTGGCTACAGGTGCCCCCCGCCCCCACCGGCCCAGGGTGGGGGACAAGGATAGACTGGAAATACCTTATCCAAATGCTCTCCAGCTCCAGACCCGTCACCTGACATCAATTTCAGCCACAGGACTCCAGAGAGAGAACAGACAACGGAAGATTCTCTGTGCTAATGCCAACAGGATATGCAAGACGCCAAATATCAATTTGCCTCAATCACAATTCTGTATGCACGAGGAGAAGAATTCTTGGGACTTCAACCTGGGCGGGCGAGCCGCCCCTCTCCCACCCCCTTTGCTTTTAGGACTCACTGTTATCTGTGTTGCCTTACTTACATGATCAGTAGCTCCGACTCATATCGCATTAATTTATTCTTCTCCAGAGCCAGCTTAAACCATTCCTGCAAAAGCTGTGCTTCATCTTGTGTGCCTGAATCTGCTTAAGAAATCAACAGCAAATGTGTTAGATTGGCGTTTCTCTCCCCGTGATCAACCTGGTTAGGAGCTGCGTTAGTGGCCATGTTTGTAGCAGAAAAAGGCTCAGCAGGTGGCAGCCCCCCGATGGCCTGTTGACGCTTTGGTTGCAGGTTGCGGGCCGACAAATCACACCCCCTTGGGTATGCTCTGGGGGAGAGGTCCTCTTGGACACTCAGGGCAGGAATCCTTTGGCTCCAACAGCCATGTAATCTCGATAATGCCCTGCCGTAAATGAAACTTCTCCTGCCTCTGAGTACGTCCTCTGTGAAACTTCTGTATGTTTGCACATCACATTCTCCACCAAAGAAAACCCTAGAAACTCTCCTGGTTACTATCTCCTCCTCCCTTTCTTCTCCCAAATCAAACGATTAGTGAGTGCCCAGGTGGGGTGTGGCTCCCTTCGTGGGGCGGAAACACCCACGCCACATTTAATCATAGAGGGGTGGTGATGGCTTTTTTTTTTATTTTTGCACGAAGAAAAGCCAATAATGGGGAAAAAAAAAGTGTAACCAGCTCTGAGTCTCGCTGGGAGAGCTAAATTCATATCTTCTTATAACTTAGATTATGACCTTTATTGAACGTAAGAATAACCATGAGAAAACTGACACTGCTTTTAGATATGCAATGCTAGACGCTAAAGGTTTAGATGATATAATGATAAAACCTGGGTGTATTTCTAAAGTAGCAACATGGAGGTGGCTTTTTAGTATTTCACCCTGAAATGAGGACACGGGCTATATTGCAAAGCCCATGGCCACTCTAGGAGGATTTGTACTGGAGTGTCCCATAGGCAGAGGGGATGACAGTGCAGACGGAAGTTATACGTGACCTTGAGCCTTTACTTCTTCACTGTTAAACTGAACAACAAGACATGCAAGTAATGCAACAGTAACAAGCTACTGTTTATTAAGCCGTGATCACGCGCAAGCCAGCGGGTTCCATGCATTACGTGGGACATCACATTTAATCCTCACGACAAACTCACCAGTAGGGTTGCTTATTGTCACCACTTGAGAGCTGAAGAAAGCAGAGGTTTAGAAGATGAATTTTCCTGAGGTCACAGTTAGTAAGTGGCCGAACCAGGGCTTGAACTCAAGTGAACTTTATCCTAAGCCCAGGCTTCCTCCTGCTTGTATAGCACTCCCCCTCCTCCTCACTCCTTCCCTCCTTCTTATAGGCATGTAAGGTAAGTCACACCCTTAGCACATTGCCTTGTTCCTAGTAAGTCATCCATAAAAATGAGTTCCCTTGTCTCCCTGTCTTTTTTTTTTTAAAAGATTTTATTTATTTGAGAGAGAGAGAGAGAGAGAGAAAGAAAGTGGAGGGAGAGGCAGAAGGAGAGGGAGAAGCAGGTTCCACTGAGCAGGAAGCCTGAAGTGGGGCTCCATCCTAGGACCCTGGGGTCATGACCTGAGCAGGATGCCCAAATGACTGAGCCACCCAGGTGCCCCCCTCGCTGTCTTCTTGACCACCTTTTTGTTCATATGGACAGTTGGGTCTAGATAGATTTTATAAAGTGCCCCAAATTACATAATTAATGGGTAACTGGTGCTATAATGCAGATCTTGACTTCTGATGAATTCATTCATTTGTCCATTTCATCCATCCATTCATCCATAAATTTACTATTTAATAACACCTATTTATTGAATAGGTATTGGATACTACTTTAGGTACTAGAGATACAGTGACAGATAATGTTACATATCATGAGAAATTTGGACATAGTCATAAGGCATAATGCCTGCTCTCTCTCTCTCTCTAAGACTCTTTTGAATCAGATGGATTTAGAGGTAGAATAAAATAGATCATTAGGAAACTCTTGCAACAACAAAGCAACAAAAATTACTCTGGGAATACAGAGGAGAGAGGCTTTTCCTGGCCAGGATATGAGGCTGGCTTCCTGAGAAAGGTGGCATTTGAACTGGTATGTTGAAAAATGAGTAACACCTGGAGAGGAAATAATGAGGATGGGAGAGAACATTTCCAAGAAGGAACAATGTCAGCAAAGACATAGAGATGGAACAGAGGCAGTAGAGACATAGATCAGGCAGGGCTAAGGGGGTGGGAGGGGTGCATGGTGAGGTCTGGGAGTATCTGAGGATCTCATCATAGAAGCCCCTGAACGTCACACTAGGATTCTCACACTTTATGCTGTGGAACACAAAGGGACACTCAAGGTGGCTGAGTAGGATAATGTAAGTGACGTTTTACCCAGAAAGCATTAAAAGGGAAAGAGGGAGGGAGAAAAATAAGCAATATATTATTCTTCCTTAGGTTTCTTGGGTGAGTGAGTGAGTGAATGAATGAATTTATAAATATGTTGAATACCAACATCTCCTAAGTCACGTTCATGGTGCCAAGGGGCAGGGATGAATAAGCATCAGTTTCAACTCTTAGGGAAACTGGGAGCTTGCGGTTCAGCAGGGAAAGCCACCACTGCATAGCCGAAGAGAATACAACATGTCCCTTGCTATGACAACACAGAAGGGAATGAAAGAATAAAATATATAGACCAGAGATCATATAGAACATAGAAGTTACTTTAAACTCAGACTTGGGATCCAACTTGTACGCTTCCACCCCCCACCACGTGGGCTTGAATACTTAGCATAGCCTCCCTGAGCCTCCACCTTTTTTATCTGTTACGGAAATGCAGTGGGACTGACTGTGCACACGAAGACCTTAACCCAGCCCCTGCAATGGCATGTGGTTTAAGCTCAATAAATGGTAACAGTCATTTTCCAGGATGCAACTGAAAGCCAGTCTGAATCAAACAGAGTATCAACAGCTCACAGTGGAGAGACCTGCCCTGGGGCTACAGAGGTGTCTTAGCTGCCCTGTGTCTTCACTGGGCTCCTACTACCTTGCACGTGAAGGTGGTCTTTCCACACCGGCAGTGGTGAAGTCTGATGACTCCGGGTTCTATTTCTGCAACTGATCTTTTCTCTCACCTGATTCAAGACTTTCTGTATCTTGTTAAATATCATCTTGTTTATTCTATTCCATCATAGGGGAATCTTTTGAATATTTTATCTAGCTGACACAGTCCTTGCTTTGGGATTTCTGCAGAATTGATAAATGGGCATCCTGGGCCTTTATGCAATATTGAAAAACAAAGTGTCAGATGGGACTGGACCAAGAACAGAGCCATCTGGCCCATTATTAGGGACCCTTCTCAGGCTTTGGGTGAGGCTGTTCTACACACTGTGAATATACCCGATCATCCAGCACACATGTCTATATTTTGTCCATGAGGCTGTTACAGGAAACTTTGGTAAACTAATTTCCTGAAATCAAGCTTCACAATGTCTGCCATGTCCACTGGCACTACAAACCTCACAACTCCACCCAGAAAGGGAAATGACATTTGTTTTCACAGCTTCTCAGTAAACACCAATGGTTCCTAATAATCTCTAAATTTCTTTCTAAATATTCACAATTTCTTTCATAATGCTTTCTAGAATTTTGACCAGGATCAGAATTCCTACTTCTTTCCCATGTGATGTGAAACATAGAAAATATACTAGCATTCAGTCTTTGGTTCTGGAATTCTCCATGGGTTTCCAAAGGCGGAGGTTACATCTACCCAATATTTCAAACACCAGGAGGTTAATTTGGTTCATTCAACCAATTCTGAGTAATGCCATACCCAAGACACTAGTCTATATACCATCTCTCACCTGGGCTTACAAACCTGAATTCATTGCTGTCTCATTTTTCTCATCTAGATTGCTCATGCAGTTTCAATTCCCTCTTCTAGATGTCTTTAACATTTCTAGATTGAGGACCATTTTCCTTGATAAAGAAAACATAAAAGCTGAGAGTTGGAAATTCTGTCTTTTTTCATCATGTAACATTACACCATCTGCCTCAGCACTGGGCCTCTCCTTTCCTTGTTGTCAATCCAAAAGAAACAGCTTTAAAGGCACTATTTTGCTGTCTTTAGAGTTTTTTGTTGTTTATTTGTTTTTTTTTGTTTTTTGTTTTTTTTTTTTTTTAATTCCAGATTTGGCCTCTTTGCCGCATTATACCCACAGGTTCAAGCCAGACTTTTACCCTGCATTACATGTCTCCTTAATCTCTCTTATGTGTCCTTCTAAAACGTGGTCCAGGAGAGAACTGCCTAGCCGCACTGATTTCTACTGATGCTACTATACTCAACAGACACAAGCTGAACTGTATCGTTCCATCCAATTTTCTTTTTTTCCCAAGAAATAATTTACAATAGTTTTTTGTTTGTTTGTTTTTTGGAGTCTTCCTTTCCTCAACAGTCAAAATCACTTTGGGGGATATCTTTGAACATCCCGCAATTGATCCGTTTCCCTGTTGATGGAGATCTAAGTTGCTCTTCACGTTCTGCTCTGCAATATACACTCGCAAATGAACTTCTTGAATAGTATGGTATGCAAAGGGTCGATCAGTTTCACAGCAGAAAACCGAAGTGTTTTCCAAAGAGCTATGACAGTTTTTACTCCCACTAACATTGAATAAAAAGCTCTGCTGGCTTCTTATCCTTGCCACATCCTTAGTGCTATAAAGTTTTTTAAACTTTGCCAATTTAATAGTTTAAAATAGTTTCTCATTGTAGTCTTCATTTGCATTTTCCTAGTTACTGATGAGTATTCTTTCTGTGAAATATATATTTTTATTATTTGCCTATCTTATTTTTTTAATTTAAATCCAATTAATTAATACATAATGTTATTATTGGTTTCAGAGGTAGAGGTTAGTGACCCATCCGTCTTACATAATACCACTGCTCAGTACATCACATGCCCTCCTTAATGTCTATCACCCAGTTACTCCATCCTCTCACCCCCGCCCCACCCCCAGCAACCTTCAGTTTGTTTCCTGAGATTAAGAGCCTCTCATGGTTTGTCTTCCTCTCTGGTTTCATCTTGTTTTATCTTTTTCTCTTTTCCCCTATTATCCTCTGTTTTGTTTCTTAAATTCTAC